TTGGTGAGATAATACGGATCCTTTCATACGAATTAATTTTAGTTTATTCATTACGTTTTCATTTAAATTGTATTGGTTAAATTAGAGGTCTGCATGCCGCTGAGCTGAAATTAAGAATCTCACAAAATTACGGACTTTATTTGTCAATAATGCAGGCCAAGTTTTAAAAAAACATAAATTTTATTTTGCGGGCCGTGCGAACTGGCAAGAGTAGGCCCGTCAGGTCCCTAGGATCATTAGTTCAATAGTAAAGTCAGAGTATTCCTCTAAATTTTGTTTTCTATTTGTTGAAAGTGAACCGTTTCTGAACCAGATCGAATTAGATAGATCAATTAGTTGATCCACCTGAATTTGGTTTAAATCAAGACCGAACCACGTACCTTGCTCTATCACTATGTTTGTGATTAGATATGGATACCCAAGCTAAAGCAGATGGATTTTAATGTCAAATGATTTGCATTGTTCCTAAGAAATGTCAGTAGATTTCGCATTACCGTATAGACGCGTAATAACGCGCATCTACGCGTTATTTCTGAACGCACGTGCGCGATAATTCGAATCATTACCTTAATTTTGAAGGAAAAAGGTACAACTGCTAAAAATTTTCCTGAGACTATGTATTTGGGGCGCGTTGCTTCGGGACGCGCTTTTGAGTCATATGCGATTTTCAAAAAAATGGAATTTTCGAATAATGTTCATGTGCGTTATCCCTTTTGATATCAATTTCGTACAAAAGGACATTTACTTTCGTACAAATGACATTCAATTTCGTACAAAGTGACATTTAAATTCGTACAAAATGACAATTAAAATAAGTTTGATTAAACCGGGATATCTCGTGATTTGGTGATCAATTTTAGATTATTTTAGTACCATTCGAATCTTCTCGATGAAACGATTCGAATGATACCAAAATCATCTAAATTGAATCATTAAATCACGAGTTATCACAGTTTAATCAAACTTATTTTAAATGTCATTTTGTACAAATTTGAATGAGAAATTGATGTCAAAAGGGATATTACGCGCCTATACGGTATGAACACATACCGAATCACGAGAATTGTACGTGGTACTGTATTGTGAATTAAACCTTGATATATTGTTATTGTATAAAATAAGTATATAACACGCTGATGCTTAAAAAAATTTATTTCTTGCAAAATTTATTATGAAATATACTTTCTAAACTTTATACTGTAGTTTGTCAGGATCGTCTTTCGTGATCTAGATTCGATATTCAGTCAATTTGATTTTTTGATTTCATTATCATTATCTTGAAAAATATTTTTGCACTTAACATCGTGATGGAAAATATTTACTGTACGTAAAAATAGAAAACCAAGAAGTATATCTTTGACAACTTGTATTTTTCTAGTTCAAGAAATGTTATAGTTATTATATAAAGTACCCTTAAATTTCCTTGTTCAACCCATTCAAAATAACTTTGAGGTCATTAATTTCTTAAGTGCCCATAAAATGTGAGAATTTTATCTCATATTGGCTATCCATAGGTTTAAATGCAACTTCTTTTAATGATTTTAAAGACTGCCTCTATTTGTTTGAGTTATGGAATCACTTATTCACTTGAATCAATCGTATCAATTCAATCGTTTGCATAAAGTTATTATATTTTCGAATAACTAAGGACTAAATGGAAAGTTAAATTAATAATAAAGATACGTATAATACGTATAAGTTATAGTTACTTCTTCAACTTCTTTTAAAGCTTTACAAACTATTTCACATTCATTGTCAATTGCGTTAGAAACATTGATAACAAAGTGCAAATCAACATGCCTGTCTGTCCGCAGGTCTTTGTCCGTCATGGACTCTGAAAAAATTATAAATGCGGCGGCAAAATTTTGATTCAAAATCATGTGATGTGGCTCGAATTATAAAATTTATTATTAATACCGGCCAAATCCGAAAATTTTCAAAATAATCCGAAAAACAGAAACCCTTCATCTAAAAAAAAAAAAGACTAGCATCCTGTTGCATAGGCCACTGACGACTCTATAAGACCTACGAGCTTATTTTACGTGTCTAATTAGCTATAAAGATATATTAGGCCATATAAAGTTAATTAATTGTTTCTCATAACCCAATCGGGTCAGCTTTTGCAAATTTTCGATACAAAATTTTATAAGTTATTTATTATAAATACTTCTGGGTGTCTAGACAAAGAAAAACTTATAAAATTTTTACGATTTAAGAATTAAAAGTCGGACGGGCGGGTCACTTTTAGAATTCTATTATGAGAAACATTTTGTATGGACTTAGATAAAAATTTTGTGACTTATCAATAGAAAAATTTGATATTAAGAATGAGGAGTTGACTATGAATAATTATAATAAGTCAGTATAAAAGATTTTTATGGTTCATTCAGAATAACCCGATTATTACTCGTATTAAAAAGGTGCCAATAGTAAGATGATTGGAAGATTGAATATCTAAATATCTACAGATTGAAGTAATGCAAGATGAAAATCAAGAATAAATGGCTTTCAGGGTTCGAGTATCTTTATGATTTCGAATATCAACCTAAAGATCATGAAGAAAATTTGATTGTTGCAAACAATTATGGAATTTTCGTGGCTATTGTAACGAAGAGAAATGGATATATTCTAGTATAGTTACGTAAAAATATAAATACACCTAAGAACAAGCGAAAAAAAAACATCGAAATATCCTTATGGAAGAAATAAAAAGTGATCCGGAAATCATTACAGCTATTGTTGTATACGTATTTTATCGATTCATTAAAAATGAAAAAAAAACGTATGGTTTTCTTTAGAAGACGTAGATCACAAAATATGAAGGTGGTTAAAAAGGCAAACAACCACTTCAAAAATAATTCACAGGTTTCTTATCGACAATCGATCGTTCAAACAAGTAATCATTCATATTATACTAAAAATTTTGTAATTCTAGTTGGCAAAGAAGCATTCATTAAAGTTTTTTTTTGATGAGAAAAGTTAATAAAGAGATTGTGAAGATTATAATGAAATCCGATTAAAATAAAATTTAATATAGTGTAAAGCAGGTAGGTTTTAATGGGTTAAATAGAATCTCAAATTCATTTTTAATTCAATTTCATTATGTTCTACGGTAATAACTGTCGAAAAGTTTGGTGTCAAAATTACTCGAGGTGGATGAAAAGCAAGTGGACCAGGCCAATTAAAAATTCTATTAGAGTAATTAATTTATTATTTTGCTTTTCTGCTCAAGCAGCCAAAATTGCCAAAATGTTCTAAGAACAAAATTATGCACAGATTTGCCGCTACAAATTTCTGAATACACTATCATAAATTTATAAAGAATGTTTATTAAAATAATGATTGTATAATATATAAGGCTTATAAATTATTATAATTTATTAAATTAGACCATAGTCACAGTCTTTAGGAGATCAGTCAGACCATGATAATAATAAAAGAATATTGAAATACATAAGAATAAATAACATACAAATAACAATATATATATATATATATATACAAGATCGTATACAGGTAATAAATATTCTACAATATAGAGAGAGATATACAGTATATTTAATTTTTACGGGAATTATTATTTAAAACCTTGAGAATTCTGAGAAATATGTTAATAAAATCTAAATAAAGGTCAACGGCGGCGAGAATATAATCTTCAGGATGTTTTGTTGTCAAGATAACAAAAGTATCGAAAGCAACGAAACCACAAAATAGAACAATGGTAATTATAGTAAAAATAAAATCAAAAACACCACCGAATGGAATATAGATTCCGGTAATACTTATTCCCAGAACAAGCAAAAGACCATCATAGAGACTGATTTAAATAAATATGTTATGTTAGAAAAACTTGTAAAAAAAAAAAAAAGACGGGTTTATTAAAGAAATGAGATTAATTAATTAAAAAAAAAAAACTTACAAAGGATACAATCCAAAGAAATCATATTTAGATTGCATTGTATACAGTATAATACCAATAAAAAGGCCAGATGTGACAACTAAGGATCTTAGCACAACAAAATAATTATAATAGGTTACTTTTAAAAAAATAGTAGATTAGTTAGATTATTAAATTTTAGTAAAGCAATCAATTATTAGCGTTAGCACTATATAGTTTTTAATACTAACCAACGGTCCCAATTGTGTAACTTTCAGCAATCGTGAAAGCAGCAAGCAGAAGATAATTATTAGGATACGATCGATGATTTATTTGAAGGGCGAATAAAAGAACGAATGTCAAAGCAGAAGCAACATAAATGGCCCAACCACTAGAACAAGTATCATTGGAAATTGCATGTTAGCATTATTTTATAAATTATATATACTATATATACTATATATATATGGGGGTGAGTCAATAGAAATCAAGCAAATTTTTTATAATAAAATTTTTTATAACTTTAAGCAAGAATAACTTAACAAAAACGTAACCAAATTTAATAAAAATTTTTTTAAATAATT